CGGGAATTCGTCACTCCTCTTCTCTGCCTTCTCTGCTTCTTTGCTTCTCTGCTGCTGCGGCCTGGGCGATGCGCACCGCTGCCGTGTGGGGTCGCGCCGTTCTTAAATTTCTCTTCCGCCGGTGTGCCAACACGCCCTTCCGCGTTGGTTGTTTCTCTTTTCCTTCGCTCCCCTTCTCCCACGCAGGAGGAAAGGTGAGACCAAACGCAGCTTGCCGCTGTGCGCTTTGGAGGCTCCGAAGCCACATACACACACACACACACACGCAGACACGCAACCGTCGCGGCCTGCGCGGACGCACCGCAGGGAGGGAAAGAAGAGGGAGAGAGTGAGCAGCTACGGCCCAACATGCCCCGGCATACGTATTCTGCCGCGGTGCTGCTGCTCTTCTGCGTGTTGTTGATATGCTGCGGGAGTGGCGCGTCTGCCAGTGATCAAAGGGATGTCAAGGATCCGTTTACAGGGACGACGGAGATAACTGAGTCTCAATGGAAGGACAGCGGGGAACAAAGCCAAACAGTCAGCTCGCTGCGTGTGCCCAGTCTTGTTGCAGTGGGGGAGGATGTGTTTGCCGTTGCCGAGGCGCAGTGCGCGAATGGAGACAGCGACGCAGGCTGCTTTGTCGGGATTGCGTCGAAGCACCTCAAGCAAACCGCGGAGGGCGCAATGGAGATCTCGGCGGCGGAGGCAAGCTTCTTCCGCACTCAGTTTCTAAAAAAAGGCGAGAAGGAGGCAATGGACATCATGCGGCCAACAACACTTGTGCGGGGCACCGATGTCTACATGCTGCTGGGAAACTACAGCCGTACGGCGCCTACGGATGAAGCTACCGGCACCAATGGCTGGGGTCTTTTGCTGGTGAAGGGAACTGTCACTGGCGAGGATGGCGCGAAGAAACTCACATGGAGTAACCCCATGCAGTGGAGCCTGAAGCCCACGCAGGTCTTGACCCCCTGACGCGGTTGGTTGGCGGCGGAGGCCCGGGTGTCGTGCTGAGTGACGGTACGCTTGTGTTCCCCATGCAGGCCACGGACAAGACGGCTGGGACGAGTGCTCTGCTGGTCATGCGCTTTACTGCGTCAGAGAAGAAATGGACGCTTTCGTACGATACGACCGGCGCGAGCTGCAGCGACCCATCCATCGTGGAGTGGGAAAAAAACAAAGTCCTCGCGATGGCTCCCTGTGCGGGCGGCTACTACGAGGTGCACGCGACCTCTTGGGGAGCGAGAAACTGGTTTGATGTGGGCGAGCCGATTTCCCGCGTGTGGGGCACCTCGCCGAGGCGCCAGGGAGGGCACGGCGTGCAGGGCGGCCTCACCACCACAACCTTTGAGGACAAGAAGGTGATGCTGCTCACCACGCCGGTGTATTCCGCGGACGCAGGCGACGCCACAAGGGCCCGGCTGCATCTTTGGGCGACGGACATGCAACGCGTACATGACGTTGGGCCGGTGTCTCGTGAAGCCGATGACGCCGCAGCCAGTTCCCTGCTGTACAAAAACGACACGAGTGAGTTGATTGCACTGTACGAGAAGAAGAATGGCGATGATGACTCGTACGGCCTCGTCGCTGTGAGCCTGACTGCGAAGCTGGAGCAGATCAAAGAAGTGGTGAAGACCTGGAAATACATGGACAAAGCTCTAAAAGAATGCAAGCCCGACGACAAGGGTGAGCCACGCACAAAGGCCATGTGCAACGGCCCTGTTCCCACGGATGGGCTGGTGGGTTTTTTATCTGGCACCGTAACTGGGGGCAAGTGGAAAGACGAGTACCGCTGCGTGGACGCAACAGTAACGAATGGGGCAGTGGCAACGGGGAAGCGGGGGGTGACGTTCAGCGGCGCCGGAGAGGGGGCGCAGTGGTCCGTGGGAAGCAGGGGGCAGAACCAGCCGTACCACTTTGCGAACACTGCGTT